TCGCACCTTACATCTCAAAACCCAAATCTCTATCTTGAGGTCATAATACTGCATACCAATTGTAAAGTATAATGCCACTAAAAGACGCATGATGACATGAGTTTCAATCATATCAATGCGGGCTTTGAAAATTCATGTCACGGTCTCCCCTCTTTCGAGAGAGTTTTAATGAATTAGGTACTGGGTTAAATTTTTAGAAGGCATATTGAGTTTGAATAAAGACACTACCTAGATATTTCGCCCTGATTTTGTGACGACTTTATGATCCGAATTCTAGTTTCGTATAACAGCAAGCCCCAATAGTTAATTACCCCTCCTGATAACGAGAGAGAACTTTCAATTAAGACTAGTCTTCAAACATAAACGTAAAGATACGTAATATCCGATGCGTAGTAGCAACAAGGGATTAGTTATTGAAAATTTAATATTTAAAATCAAAAATTTACCACCTTGTACTTAAAGCGGATGGTGGGGGAAGTGATGATAGAACCGATCAAGATCCCATGGTTCCGTCATCCAATGCCATCATAATCCCTAGTGTACTTAGTCAGAGGAGGTAGTCGACCCAACCCGACAGAAGGATCATTGTCGACAATCATTGGTTGATTCATCCAAGGGTACCTTGTAGACCTGGGATGGATATTTGTTTAAGGGGATAAATTTGAATCAACCTTAGATAACATAAGACTTTGTGCCTTACCAATTATATCTAATTGATTCATGTCCCAAGGATATAGTGCCATTTGGGAGCTTACGGGCTCTGTCATGACCATAATTTAGTTGTGTCATTTGGCGGCAAACAACCCGACTCAGAGAGCCCCAATCATAACTGATGTAGAACAAAGTGAATGGGGGAGCTAATAAGATTAAAAATCTGAAATTAAAGTTCAGATTTCCTCTAATCAAGGGATTTAAATTTTGAAATTAAAATAAGATGGAGGGAATGATAAATAAGTGGTCAATTATTCCCCTAATTGAATTCCTTAACAAGGAAGGAAATAATTAAATAGAGGAGAGAGAGGGGTCGGCCTAATGAGGAGGGAAAAGAAAAGGTGTCCACATACAATGTATGTAGACCTATGTTGCACCGATACACCTATTTATGATGGTGTGTTGTATTTGATACACCGATACACGGATACGCCTCCGATACGACACCGATACGTGTCAGATATGCCAAAGTCGTATCCAATTAAAATACTATTTAATTTTAAAAGGACACGCGTATCGGATACGCTTGTTCGTTGAAAAACAAAAAGAAATCCGAAAAAAAGACGCGTCGTATTTACTTCCGCGACTGCAAGCGAAGTTCTCTCATTTCTGAGACGTATTTGAATCTCTTGATGATATGGGAATATTAGAAATTGCCAATTTTTCGTTTGATGAGCCTGAAGTAGAAGTTATGATATTTATTGAAGATGATATAGAAGTTCAAAGACAAACCACTAAAGAAGTTAATCATATCATTACTTATATTGAATAGTTGAAATTTCATGTGTTAGACAATTAATGTTTATGCTTTTGTTGTTGTACTAGACATTTAATGCTTACTTTATTTTGATATTATAAGCTACAAGGCTACAAATGATGTTGCTTTCATTTTTTTTTTTTTGTAATTTCAAATATTATGATTTGATTGATTTCTTAACTTTTATGTATGATTTATAAATTATAATGCAATATACGTGTTGTACTTGTATCCGATATTTTTAAGAATTGACGTGTATTGCATCCGTATCATGTCGTATCCACGTCGCCGTATCAGTATCGGTGCAACATAGATGTGGACTCATGCATTAATGGGAGATTGGAGAGTTAAATCTGAAATAATTTCAGATTTAATATGATTGAAGGATTTCCTAAAATGGATGTAGGTTATTTAGGAAAGAATTTAAAATTCAAATTATTTTGAATTTGAATTCGAAAACTTTTCAAATAAGATAGAAACTAATTTAGGAAAGTAATGATGGTGAAAAGAAATTAGAATCAAGGGAACTTGGAGGGTGGGCCGGCGGTGGGGTGTAGGGGAAACATGGTCGGCGATGGGGTGTTTTGAGGAGGGTGTAGCTGGCGTGTTGGGTGAGGGAAAACGCTTGGCCGGTGGGTTGTGGTGGAGTGGCCGACGATTAGAGGTGGGGGAAAGAAAGGGTGGTGGTGTTCGGCTTAGAGAGTGGGAGGAGGGAAGAGGGAAGCTTGGCTGGCGGCTGTGGAGAGGGTAAGGCCGGCGATTAACGAAGAAGGAGAAAACGAGTTAAGGGAAAGAAAGATAAAACTGTGAGCCCGGACACTTCCTACGGCTAACAGGTGATGCATTGTCCTTCACCAAGGGACTTCAAGCCACGAGCCCGGACCCATCCCGCTGCTCGTGAAAACTAAGATTCCCTCCCATAGGGATATCACCTAAGTCCTCCCAATGAATAAAAATGCAGAACAAAATTTTTATTAAAACTCCATCATATCATAACACTAGCAAGGGCCTTCTATATATAGACCTCAGAAATAAAAGAAACTAAAATAAGACGATCATACCCCTATGGCTTACATAAGATCATACCCTTAAGGGTAAAAATGGAAAATGCATAATTAAAATAAAAATTTAAGATAACGTAGGACGATCACGACCGTCAATCTTTAGCTCCTCAGATAGGCATGGACAGTTGGATGTCCACATCAATAACTGTTTACCTGCAGTGTCATTTGGCAACAAAACCGTTAGTTAGAGAGCACGTGTCATGCACTTACTGGTAAAAGATTGTTTGAGAATGAATCCTATTGATATTCTCAAGCAAACATTAGCTCTTTGTAAGCTGAAGTGATGTTTAAATTTGTCCACCTCCACAAACTATTATGGAGAGTGGATGGATTTTACTTTAAGCATTTTGTTGATTAATTTCAATTTTAAATATTTGAAATTTGATATCTTTTGAAATTTTGGATTTCATGGGCATTTGAGAATTTGGGGAATATTTTAAATATTTGTGATCCCCTCTTGTTGAGATTTACATTCAACATGATCATCATTGAGGCCTTTATGGGGAATTTCATTTATCCTTGTCGACTATATCTACTTGCTAATAGAGGATTTGGTTCTTCGTAGGCATTATGTTTTTATTGGAGAATTTTCTTAATTATAGGCCTTGAAGCCTATATGAACGTAAAAAATAAATATCTCGGTCGACGAAGTGACCATATATTTATTTGATAATTCGAGTCATGTCGACTCCTATTTACTAGTATAGAAGGATCATGCTCGAATTTGGATATGTCATTTGACCCACGCAGCATTCTCAGACATCACGTATATACCTAAAACACGCGGGCCCATGTGGGTATTTAGAGGGCTTTTAATGTTATCAATTGAACCTCATTGACTCTATCTAATTACAGATGGAAGATCGGGTTAGTTGACAGCTTTAGGTTTGTATCAAAGAATTTTTCTTGTTATAGACCTTGAAGATTTAATATGAATGTATAAAAAAATATCTCAAACGACGCCACGACAGTATATTTATTCATTGGTTCAAGTCGTCTTGACTCTCGTCCTATTAAGGAGAAGCATTGGATTTGAACATAAGTTCATTCATTTATTTTGACACGTGTGGCATTCTTATAGACATCATATGTGTACCAACAACACGCTCATCGGAGCCCAAACGGGTATATGATCTTATATGTACAAATATTAATATGCTTGCATTTATACTTTCATATTTGCATGTACATATGTTGCAGTGCATGTGTGAGGTCATTTTGCAATAATAGGAGCTGATCAATTGCGCGGGCAACCATCGTTTGAATGTAGCATTCTATTTGGGAGCTTGTACACGCCTGCTATTTGCTTGTATATATGTTGCGATCCGGTGGAGTCGCACTACGGGTTTCTCGTTGCTTTATACATGTCGACTGTCATGCACTAACTAGTCTTCTATTATAGGTCGCAGAAGCTTGCATCTAATGCAGTTCTTTCACATTTGTCCACAAACAACATGTTAAATGTATAATGGGCCTCCTTCAGCGGCTAGTAGGCATTTACATTAATTTAGTCATTTGGCATTTTGTTTGTAGATAGCATTTTGTGTGTATAGGGGGGTCTCCTACAAGGACCCAAAGAAACTTGCATTTGTTGCATATCATCCAATGTTTGATAATATAAATGGCATGCAATATGTATAACGGGTTTCCTACTGTAATGCCCCAGAATATAAATGGCATGTAGTATGTATAACGGGTCTCCTACGACGAGCGACGATTGCTAGCAAGGAAGGTGAGTTCATGAACTAAGAGTTCTCCTTGTATTTAGAATTTGTCTTGCTTGAGTGAATTCAAACCTAAAATAAGCTTTTTAGGTACTCCAAGTCCCCTAAACTAATACTTTGTATTTAGTTTGCTTCAAACCAATTACCTTAAAAACCAAATTTCTATTTTTTCTTTCACTTCACATATGATACTGGCAACCAAGCAGCCCTTTACCACAAAACTCATATAAGACTAAGTAATTCATTATTTTCATAAATTATGACAATAATGTAAAACAAACTAATCAAGTCATCCAATAATCTTTGTAATCAGTATACTTTTTGTACATTAATTAGAAAATAAATTTGCCTATGATAATTTGTTTCAATTATCTTCGATTTTAAATCCACTTATTCCTCGCTCTTTTCCTAGCCCAATGTGACACATGAAAAATGCTAGGATATATAAGCTCACAAATGAAGTTGCACCGTAGTTACATTAAAGCACATAGTTCAGCTTGCACTACTAAACATCTAGAATACAGAGAAAATTTTTTTTAAGAAGCTCGTTCTTTACTTTTTGGCTCGGAGAAATGGGTAGTCACTAAAGCGTAAAATTGAACATCTAAAGATCCAGGAAGACCTTCCAAGATTTCAAAAGCATGAATGGATAACAAAAGCATGTCTAAATTGATTATTGAAGTCAACACTTGGGCAATTAAACTTTAAGAAAGGGCAAGATGATAATCAATTACGTAAGCATACCAGAGTCATTTGCTTTTTGCCTTCCATGTAATCTTGCAAGTGCCGTGTCAACTAAAAAAACAAAAGTACAAATTTGAAATAATCATTAAACAAACTGTCAGAATAGATCAATTTAATAGACATAATTTGCAGAAGTGAATGCAGTTAATAACATGGAAAAACTGCAGTTCATGCAGTAATGAATAAAGCCATCATTAAAAAAACATCAACTAGGATAAGAATTCAGCAAACAATAAATGATGTGCAAGGGAGAGAGCAAAAAAAAAGTATTAGATGAGACACTACCAGTGAGTTTTTGAAGTGTTTCTCGATTGGCTTCTTAGGGTTTTTCTGATGCTCTAACAAAGACTGAAAAAAAATAGAAGGGATGCAGTAAAACAGAGCACTCATTTTGAGGTTCTTGAATGAAGAAAACATCAGACATTTACGTACTCTTAGGCATTGTCCAAAAACCATGGATGTGTTATTAATAAAGTTGCTCTCCAAGAGCCTTGCACCCTGTTAGTAAAAAAAAATTAAAAAACCAAGTCACATAAACAGGAAATAATAATCTTTGTAAAACTGCTGACACTAAAATAGCAAAATAGCCTGTCACATTCACATTCATTGAAGCTTAAAGATCATGATGTTGAACATGTCGGTTAGTTGACCAAGATTGAACATCTGCAGCTCAAATTCAAAATAAGCAATTCCTGAATACATAAATATGATCGGAACCAGAACTATCAAATTATTTTACTGTAGAAGGGCTTTCCTAATATAATCATTTAAGCCTTGTTTTTTGTACTATATTTGACGATAATGAAATTAAAAAAAAAAAAAGAGTTGAAAAGCCTTAATCAATGTTTGGTGAGTCGTAATCAATTAAAAGAATGTTACAATATCATTTCATTTTCTTTCAATCACAAACAAGCCTTAAGAAAAGGCTTTAGACACTCAGCATCTGATTAATCAAATAGGAACCATCATCATCATCGACCTTATCCAAACTATTAAGGGGTATGGATTTATTAATTCTCACTTTACATTTGTTCAACATAAGTGCTACCTAAGATGTTCAGGTTATTGTTCCTAAATCATTTTGAACGTTTACACATGCACCATTCTTCAAAATCTTCTCACAATAATTTTAACAACTCATCTAATTCTACATTTTCTATCTTATATTGCACATGACCAAATCACATAAGTTCATTTTCAAGTATATTATATATAAAGGACGACACTTCAATCATTCCTCTAATATAATCATTTTTTAATTCACCCATTCAAGTTTTAACATACGTCCATCTTAATTTTCAAATTTATTTTACACTGAACCTAAATATTAAAGTCTTTTAAACTATTTCAATATTCAAATCAACACAACATCATCAACTTAATTGTGATTTTATAGAATTTACCTTTAAATCTAGAAAATATCCTCTTATCACATGATTCTCATAACAAACTTCTACATTTTAAGCTTGAAGACTTAACCCTAGAGTTATGTACTGTATCTTCACTCTTTTATATAGTAGATGGAAGATATTAATATATCACACCAAAGTATCGACTTATCTTCTAATAATATGCATCGATAAATGTTGATATCAAACCTACTAAAATTAAAACTAACATCAACTCTTTAGTCTACTAATTCTGAGCACTCTTTATTAAAACTATTTTTTCTATTGCTCTAATTTTTAATATATAGAACTAATAGAAGCAAATATCACATCAATTAATATATAGAAGTGGTGGAAGAAATCAAGGGAGACATAGAATTCAGGAATGTAAGCTTCAGATATCCTACCAGACCAGATATAATTGTCTTGATTTAAAATTGTCAAATACAAAGAGCATACACTAACCCACTTCACTTAAAAATATCATTTATAACCATTTTTATAACTAATAAAAAAATATTGACCCAATCACTATCCTTGATGTAAACCTATTAGGCAACTATGATTAAAAGCTCTTAAGCCAATCCATAGCTACTTCTAATTCGAGTCAATCATCTATCACACAAATCATTCAATATCATCACAATATCTTTGACACGCATATTTCTAATTTAATGTGCACTAAATTAATTATCGTGCTACTTAAACATATATCTTTTAAAGATTAATAAAAAAACATGAATAATTTTCATCTCTATTAATTGTCTTGACATCAAAACCTCTTCCACAAGAGACTCCTAGCATCAAGCCAAATTAGTTTTTCAAAACTGGTATAATTTCTTATGTTCGGTAATAATCTTTTTTGCTGCTTTAAGTTCATGGCTTTAGGAACCACATCTCCAAGTAAATAACTACGCTACAATAGCCATGGTAGATCTTAGGCTCATTGGCACTCTAATCTACCATCGTAGCACTACATATACACATAAACCTTTATAAGAGAAGATACAGAGATGAGACAATAGTTTAAGCGTAAAGGACTTTTATCGCCTTCTCCTAGATTAGATCAATGATATTTGAAAAGATCTTTGATGAACCAGACATGAAGTTTTTATGGGTTGATCATTGAGGGGAGGCTAGTATATACAGAGGAGTGTGGACAAAGCCTACTTGCACTTGGGAAGTGTTCTTACATTTTGAAAATAGAACTAAAGTTATATCCCACTTTCATTAGTAGAGGGACTAGGTGGGACCCCCAAATGGGCTTAAGTTAGGTTTGTAGTGGTTTGAAGTTCGATTGAAATCAAGGTTCCAACAAGTTAGCATCAAGCCATTGAGTGGTTAATGGCTTGTCACATATAGGATAACAGCTTATTAACTTAGCAACTTATTCTTAATGATTAATAACTGGTTGCTAACCCTATAAAGAAAAATTATCTTTGGTTTTCACTTTGTGAAGTACCGTTAACTGTTAACAATGACCCAATACTTAGTGTCGACCATTACTGGATTAGCATCAAGCCATTAACTTTGTTAGTTCTGGATTGCGGCCTAGCAGCATATTGCTTGCTTTCACAAACTTAGATCATAACTAGAGTAGCCCATGTTTGATTGGGTAGACTAGAATTGATTAATATTTTACCCAATAGAGTTTTTGATCCTTTAGGTTGAGGGTTGTAAGGAATGACTCGTGACGCATTCAAATAACCCCTGACTAATGTCTCTCCCAAAGAAATCGAAGAAGAACCCTTCCAATATAGTGGCCCAAGTATCTCATCACTATATAGGTTATTTCTATTTTGTGAACTTTTAGAGTTCAACGCATATTCTAGATACAATACCTAATTAAACTGAGCATATTTCTGTAGAAGTTTTATGAGAGTCCATAAATAGATAATGCACATAGAATGAGATTTGGTGGTGGAGAGAGGAAATACAAAGTCCATTGAGGATAAGAAATATTCTTTTAAATAGTAGCAAAAGTTGAATACTACTAAATTTTATAATGATTCTAAGAAAATTAGAAGTCCTAAGAGCATATTGAGCAAAGCAAAGGCAATAGCTTTTGACGATTAATATTGTATGATTGGTTTATGGAGGAAACAATACATATAGAAAAGCTTAAGAGAACAAAAATAAAGAAATTTTGATAGAGTGACAGAAGCAGAGAGATAATAAATATTATGATAAAAATATCATTAAAAAAAGTTATTTTGAAAACTTATTCAATGCAAGTTTTGAGAAATGAATTACTTCAAAAGAGCATAATAAACAATAAAATGAGGTATAGTATTGACTAATAAAAAAATGAAAATAGCTCTAAAAATGCAATAAGGTAGGATATTTGCTCTAGTTGAGACATTTATTAAGAATTAGAAAGTTATGAGGCATAATGCAATAGTTTGGCAAACAAACTTTTTTCAAAAAAAAAATGAAGATTAAAAGAAGGCTAAATGATGAAAAACGAAACATTTGTCTACCAGTACTTGAAAGAAAAGATGTACAAGATTTGGATAACTATAGAGGAATCAAGTATATGAGTAATGAAATTAAGCTATGTGAGAATAATGAAATATATTCTTGCAGAAATAAAGTGAGTTATGAAGAATCAATTTCGCTTTAGGTTTTGAAATCTATGGTGGTAACAATATTTTGTGCTAACATAATTCTTTCCCTGGAAATGGTTGTGGAATGATCTCCAATTATTTTAGGATTGCTTCAGGAATTAGCTTTAAGATTATATAATTTTTATTGGATATGAAGATGCTTAAAAAAGAATTTAAAGTGAGGTGCATTAGGGTGTGCTTTTCACAAATGCATTAGATATAATCAACGATATATAAATTGAAATAAGTGAAAAGGTGGAACAAGGGAGAAAGTTTTTAGAAGATTGAGAGCTTAGAATTGGCAGAATAAATATTGGTCACATAATATACAAGTTTAGTGGGTTCGATATTCATAGTTATCGATCAATATTATTAGAAGATAATTAAAACCCAAGTATAATAAATTTAAATATCTTAAATCTATTATATATAAGAATTGAGATATAAACGAACATATAATATTCAGAATTAAGGTCAAGCGTTTAAAATGCAAAAGAGCCTAACCATAATTATGTGAATGAGAATATCAAGGAACACTCAACAAAAATAATTGAAAAAAGAGAATTCAAGCACCAATCCTAAATAACTAGGATGAGGCTAATGATAAAAATGATCAAGAAACAGGCCTTAGACTAGTAATTCATACCTTGGCTCCCAATCATGAGATCATGAGTTTTATCTCTGTTCCACTCATTGTTTCTCTCCTCTTGGAAAAAATATCATGATGTATCCATGTGCATATTACATTGGTTTGCAATACAATTAATGTAATGCTTGTATTTAAATATTTAATGATTGTTTTCAAAAAAAATTCATGCCGGGCACAGGCAGGTCTACTATGGAAGCTATACATTTATTAAGAGGTTTGACGGAGAAGTATAGGGAGGATAAGGAGGATCTACATATGATATTTATAGATTTAGAGAAAGCTTACAATAAAGTTCCAAGAAAAGTATTATGGACAATTTAAAAAAGAAAGGGGTTAATAATAATCATACTCAAGTCATTAAGGATATGTATGCAGGATCTATTACTTGTGTCCAAACACAAGGTGGTTTGACCAAGTATTTTTCTATTTCAGATGGATAACATCAAGGATTAGTCTTAAGCCCATATCTTTTTGCTTTAGTCATGAATACTCACACTAGACATTTGCAAAAGGTTGTACCCTAGTGTATTTTTTTGCTAATGATATTCTTCTTGTTTAAGACTGGAGAGGGAGTCGAAGGTATACAAATTATGGAGGTCAACCTTAGTTTAAAGGTTTTCGTTTGAGTAGATCTAAAACCGAATATATAGAGAGTAATTTTGGTAGTAATAAATCTAGTATGAAGATTGTGAATTTGGACGATACAATTATTAATAAGAGTACACATTTTAAATATCTTGGTGATGATGAAATAGATGGTGATATTACAAGTAGAATTCAAGTTGGATGGTTGAAATGGAGGAATACATCGAGGCTATTGTGTGATAGAAAATTAACCCCTCAAATTTAAATGAAAATTCTATAAGATGGCGTTGAGACATGCAATGCTTTATGGTGCAGAATGTTCACCTTTCAAAGAGAAGCATTCAATTAAAGTTAAATGTTGCAGAGATGAGGATGCTCAATTGGATGAGTGACTTTACTCTTAGAGATTGAATGTGAAATAATCATAAGATTTGGCCTATGTAAAAAGAGGTAGAGGTACTACCCTAAAAAGACTTAGGTTAAAAAATAAATTAAATTATCTTTTTCATTAGATTTAAAGAGAATTTGAATCTTAAAAGTACACAATGGAGAAAAAGAATTCATGTAGCCTAACCCACGTAGTGAGATAAATACTTGATGTCGTTTTTTGTCTTTGTTTTTATAAATTTTTCAGTTTAGTAATTTTTCCCATGCATTAGGATTTGTATTTGCTAGTAAGCATTTATTTTGCTTGCAAATGCAAGCAGAACAATTAAATATGAATCCATCCTCAATTTCACTCTAGGCAACTTCATGTATAGAAGTGATGGCCACTTGTCTACAGAAATAGTTATGACATTAAATAAATAAATAAACAAATAAGTCCCATAAAATGAAAACACTATTACATCAATGCATTCCACAAATGTTCATACCAAAAATATTTTTTATGTAAAATTAGACACAAAAATGAACAATAAATAAAAAAAAGAATAACCTGATTCCCCGTTTTTCTTTCTCTCTCCGCTCCAGCAAGGTCTGCGATCGTAAGAACTGAATTAGTACATGAATGATCATCAGCGTCACTCTTCCGAATGCAACGAACATTAATGATACACTGAGATCGACTGCAAACAAAAGAGTATAACTTGCAAAAATTACACGATGATAACAAAGATCAACTACTAAAGGAAACTTAGTATCACACAAAAGGATATGTATGAAAGCGTAAACAAACAATTGTACAGAAATGTACACATCATACATGTATGCATGCAATTGTGCATGCTTTGTATCAAAATAAATTATAAAGAGATAATCACATGTTCATTATTCAATAACTATGAAAAAAAAAACAGTTGCATGCAAACGCAACCTTGACATGTAAGAAAATCATTAGAGAAAAAAAAAAAAAAACACCCAAAAAGATCCAGAGAAGCTTACCATGAAAATCAATGTATATCTCTCAACTCGAATAGGTTAGGATAAAGTAAACATAAAATCTAATACATAAAAATACACAGGTCTACCAAGATTTACGACACAAAAGTAGGACTGAGATGCTGATCAATGCAATGATCTTCATTTCAGTCAGTAAAACAATTTATTTCAGTATTACATGCCTTGATTGATTATTTGCATTTGTGGGAGCAGTAGATCGTTTGAAAATGCCATGTGCCACTATTTTTTCTGCATCAGCAACTGATGAAATCTTGACCTATAGAACGAGAAGAGCATCTATAGAACGCTATAAAAAAATTGTTAAAGAAAACAAGATTGGACTAGTTTCATATTTGGAGTAGTTACCTCCTTAAGACTGCTAATGCTTGCCTGCTGGTGTGGCATAGATTCTGGAAGTAAATCAAAAATCTTTTCTACTTTTCCTCGTTCAGAATGTATTTCAAATATGGATAAATAATATGTCCTGAAATAATATGAAATTCAATTTACAAAATAAAACAAGAAATACAATCAATAAGAGAAGACGACAAAAAATAGCCACACAACCAAAACTTATCACTTCATAAATAGTTTTTAAGTTTATTACTTCGATTTGACCAATAAATGTAAACTACTAATAAACATTTTTGGCCTAAAAACTCTATGAAAGTTCCTATAGAAAGCAATGCATGACTGATATGTGATTATCTAGGCTCGCACAGTAGTTAAGCCTTCGCTGTGTTAAGTATTGGTTTTAACATAGAGATGCAACTACAAAATAAATAACGATTAAAAAAGTAAGAGCCGTTTAAGAATAGAAAATAGTCATAAATACATGCAAAGTGTAAGGTGCCTGAGAGTTGAAAACACCTGAAAATTTACAATAATAGAATTATGCTTAATCGTCAATGTACCCGGCAAAATGTACCTAGAGGCTTGAATATTCACATTATCAGCTGTCTGCTTAAATATTTGCCTTAATGCTAGAGGCACAATACCCGGTTGCTGTGGAGATCCAAACATTGTGTAAGTCTTCCCAGAACCTGTAGGTCCCATTGCAACTAGAAGAGAGCTATGTCCTTCCATAAAATCCATTACTAGAGGTTGCATTACTTTATCATAAATGTCCTCCTAAAGAAAAGAAATTCATAAGCCTTTCCACTAATAACAATTATATGCATTAATTAATAATATGGTTTTTCCAAGAACTTTAAAATAACTTCAATATTAGAAATTCTATACAATTTCTTAATATAAGTTTTGTCATAGAAAGACAAAAAAGCATTTATAAATTTTGGCGGCATTGAAGTGCATTGACTCGTTTTGCAGTCATTTGAAACATTGAGGATTTACTTCTTTAATAAGTAAAAGGTTATATAAATGGTGCTGCTCAACACACATTACCGCATGCAAATATTTGAAAGGAATTCTAACGTGCATAAAGAGTAAATGAAATTATAACAATTTTTAAGAAAAACATCAAAAAGTCAGTTCCATCATTTCACTAAAGAAGGTTTTGAATCTTTTGATTGCCCTCCTTCAGGTAGATAACCCCACTTTACCAATGTTGAGTTATTTAGTAAGCTGAACTCTTAATTATTGAGATGTTTTTTGACTTAATGGTTAGAATTTCAGTAGGAAGTCCAAAGTTAAAATGTGCTCATAAATAAGCGGTCCAATGATGAGGGACCTCCTGGGAAGCTACATCAATGGGCCAAAATCATGAGGCCACTAGGCCAAAGTGAACAATATCTCAATAGTTAAGAGGTTTGGGTTGTTGCATCTTTAACTTTTATGATCTTAATTTGATATTAAAAAATTACTCGTTATTTCATAATTTTTTACTAATTAAATGGTTTGATTTTGAGGCTTGCGTCACGCCTCATAAAAAAATGCCTTAATGCCCGATTGTGCAATTTAGAGCTTATGAGACTATTTTCTTGCAAGTATTTATAATTCAGAGTATTCTAAATATGGTATAAAATAAACTCAATGTATTTGAAATACTTCTTGATGTTTGATTTATTGTAAAGTGACTTCATGATATTACTTTTTAGTGTTGGGTTTGCTACAATGCGAAATGAAATATTTCCATTTTCTTACTAAGCAAGAATATAGGACTTATTAGGGATGTAATCCTAGTCAAGGTTGACCGAGTTGTAGTGAAGAGAAGGTCGAGTCATAGATTGTAACCAAAATCGATGTCGATGAGGTCAAGAGAGTGAAGTATCGATGTCTCTAGGATGCAGGGATGAGGAGGTCACAAGTAGGGCTGCAAATGAACCGAGGGTTCGACGAATTACTCGTGGTTCGGCTCGATAATAGCTCATTTATGTTCGTTTGATAATGTAAATAAACAAGCTTGAATAACTTTGACAATACTCGATAGCTAAATAAATAATCTTGAACACCCTGGCGTTCGGCTCGTTTATGCTCACGAACAAGATTGTTTAGAACTCATGAACATGCTCGTTAAGAAACTCAATTAAAAAGCTCGATTATGTATTATTTAAGTAAAAATAAATATTTAACTATTATATCTTATTTAACTAATAAAATAATTAAATCTAAGGTTTTATATATATATATATAACAAAACAAAAAAAATATTGTATTTAAACAGCCACCATGACGGTGACCCAAGCAAAAACAAAAAAATTATTGATGTATGTTTCTCTCTCTCCTCCGTGACCCAAGCAAAAACAAAAAAAAAATGCTGAAGGGAGTTTAGTCTCACACTGCCTGGAAATGCATGATGTTGTTGTATAAAAGAAAAATATGTGGTCATTAGCAGCTGAAAAGTGGTCAACGGGGGAACTAGACGGGTTGGGTTAGATACTGGAATGTTATTTGGGCTGGCCGGTGTTGGTTGTTTGGCTCAGCTCAATTTGATTAAAAAAAAAAAAGATTTTTTGAATTTTGAGCGGGCTCAGCTCGGTTAAATGAGTCGCTCGATAAGGCTCGATTAACTTGAAAACAAACGAGCTCAAATTGAACACGAGCCGAGCTCGAATATGTTGGTTTTAAACGAGCTCAAACTCGAAAAGCAGTCCAAGAAGCTCGACGAGCTTCAAGCCGAGCTTGAGCTCATTTTTGGCAAACGAGCTCGAACACGAATAGGCTGAAGCTCGGTTCGGTTCGTTTGCAGCCCTAGTCACAAGGTCGACGTCAGCTACATCGCATGGAGGAGATAAAGCCATATAAGCTAGGACGACCAGGCCATGTTGAGGCTGCAAGGTCAAAAATGAACTAAAATATGTTATCAAAATACACTTGAATTTAATTTACTCTCAACCAAATATTAAGAAACTTAAAATCATCACTACATTTGCAGTGTAGTTCACTCAAAATCCCTCCAACCAAGAAACCCATATGTCAATATAAGAATCAACTAACTTGTTCAAATGTCTTATTGATTTGAATTGATCAATATCATGCTTTTAATTGCTCTCGATAAGATCAATTCGGTGATTTATGACTTGTCTATTTACCTTCATTTCTTGCATCATTTATTAAGTTCAAAAAAGGTTATCAATTTATTTATTCTTGTGAATTGCGGGTTTCACTTATTGAGTCAGGATAGTATAGGATAATGCTTTCATATATACATTCATTTTTTATAGTATTGATGTGCTTGCAAAAACATCTAATGTGTAGCATTTGATTCTTCAAGGGAGGATTATTCATCATGTGTTGCCACAATCAAATTTTATTAAAGCTTGCAAACATACTTAGTTCTGAAATTGTTTGGACATTTAAAGCGTTCAAGCATCACAGAATCCAAGGGCAAGGTTTAAGGGACCACTAACCTATTAGGAAGAATGTATAAATACATGCACATATGTGTGTGTGTCACATGAATTTGATCCTCCCTTTTATTACAAAAGAAAGGTATGTATCCCAACATTTGTTTCAAAATGGTATGCATACACAGAATAATTGATGCCTTCATCTACTTAACCACTTGTAATTGAACGATTATTTGAGGCATTTGAAATTGGGATTAAAGCTAAAGCCGGGATTTATTAAAAACAAACCTACAGAGAAATAAATTAAAAAATTTTAGAACTAACCTGAATGGATTCCGGAGGAAAGACATGCGAAAAACCATCATAAACCTCGTTTTTAGCACGCTTGGACTCCAGCGATGAAAGTGGGGCATTTAGCGTGACCGAGCTTGAGCTATTCACAACCAAACATGGCATGTTCTTCCTATCTCCTTCCTTAGAAACTCTACCCCTCCCCGGAGCTCTAGCCTCGCCTCCGGCGACGTTCGAACATTGCGAGACCGGACACATGAGGGGGCGAATTCGGAGGAATACCTTGAGGTTATTGGAAACCCCGACGTTAGATTTGTGAAGCTTCTGATTCGGAAGGGGGTAGGTCTGAAGCGGCTCGGGCTCAAGGATTTCGTCGAGTGGGAAGGGAGTGATGCCAGTAACGGCATTGGAAGGCTTTGAGGAACTTAGGGCACCGGCTGATGAGGCTTGCTTCGCCTTTCTCGGTGGGTTCCGGCGAACGGTGGTGACGGGACGAGGGGATTGCAGATCCATGAAACCCTAACTCTTGCTTGAGGAAGGGAGTGCTCCCCAAATTTTAAGTTCAATGGTCGAGGGGCGGGAAATGCTTTCTGCTTTCTTCCGGTGCGTAGGTCAAATGGACTACGTACTTTTTCTTTTTTCACCGCTCAATGAAAGTAAAATGGGCTTAAATGAAGAAAATACATTGGATTTTTAAAATTTTGGTATTTGGCTGGACAACCAAAAATACAAAATAATTTAGTAAAGTATAATAAATGATGCAGCTCATTTTAGTTTGTTGGACCAAAGTTTTTGCTACAAATTAAGATGTCTCAAATTCGAATTTTATGCATGTGATGTGGGTGTGAGTTTGACTTAATTGGCAAAAATGTCCTAAAAATATATATGGTAAACGTAATGTAAGATAGTTTACGATTCTCGCCTAATTTTGAGCGTAAACTATCTATATTGCAAGCAAGCTCGATCATAATCGGTTGCCTCCATCCATCACTGTCGGATGTCACCTGCCACCCACTGTCGACCACCACCTCCATCATCGGCTGCCACCCATTGCCAACGACCACCTATCGTCAGCCACCACCCGCCTCCAATCGTCACCACCGTCACCTGCCATCGTCAATCGCCACTGCCACCACATGCGGGTCGCCACCATCTTTAAATTTTACACTACATTCATTTTACTTAAAACTAAAGTACCAAACAAAAAAAATTCACCTGGATTTACTTTACACTCATCCAAACAACTTCAAAGTATTCATGTTTACACTGTATTCCTTTTTTAGCCAACAAAACAACCCTGGGTGCGCGGAAGCCAGCATAGGTGGTGAACAATAACAATGATGATGGTCGTGGCAGCAACATTAGTGGAGGCAGCCAGCGGTGGGCGTGGTGGCAACAACCAGTGGCTAGTGGTGGCCGACAATGCATGGTGGCACAAGGCAATGGTTGTTGTCGACGATTGGTGGTGGTCCATGATAGACGTGGTTGATGGCAACCGGTTGTAGCTGAGCTTGCTTGCAGTGTAAATAATTATCGCTCAAAATTGGGCGAGAATTATTTACCTAAATATGAGCAAAATTGTTTTACACTGCATTTACTATTCTTGACTTTGCATTTCTTTTCCATCCGACCAAACATCAAACTTTTCAAAACCTCTGATTAACTTAACTTTAGACCCATTTTGCTTTCAACGAAACATCCCCTTCATTCCGTATAAAGTAGAAACAATTTCCCATATATAATTCAAAATTGGTATGTTTACAAAATTAACATTCAATTATCTCCACGAACAATGCAACAACAACAACATCAAGCCTTTATCCTATTATATGAGGTCGGGTACTTAAATTTTTTTTCTTATATTGAATGATTTATTATTATTATTATTCTAATTTTTATTTTTATTTTTATCATTTTATTATAATAATTGTTTGAATCATAAACATTTTTCAAATTTCATAACAAACAAGGTGGGAAGCCTAAGCTCTCAACCAACAGGCCAAGGAGAGTTGTGTATAAATTAAGGCTCATTTTATTGTTTGTTAAATTAGTTTTTTATAAAAAAATTTAGTTCAAATTTTTTTTTTAAATTTCATTTTAAGAGGCAGTAAGAAAACTATCTATAACAAAGCCTAAATTTATATTTATTTATTTATTTATGTTAATGAGCCACGTGGCAGCATAATTCAAAGAAAATCATCAAATATAATATCCTAACTAATAAAAATTACTATTATGAAGCGTATACGCAGACTAAAATATAAGACTAACAGAGCTTACTTTATCTCTTCCTTTAGCTTATTTGACTTCAATATTTAAACTTAGCTTGTTATCTCTTTTTGCTTTGTCAACCGCACTGCTGTTTGTTAATACTTCTTCAACCTTGCTTGTGTCGCGCACACGCTTGAAGAATGGACAAAGCTGGGCCCACCAGCCTTGATTTTAACAATTTTCAGCTGATTTTAATTTATTTTATAAAATTGGTGAAGTTTTTGTCCTATTAATGATGATATATAATTAAAAAAATATTTTATTTTTAATGAGTCATAATGAAATTTTAGGGTTAATTTTGGGTTTTGTTATATTATTTTTTGTGTGATTTGTTTCATTAATGATATTTTATATTGTTTAGTTATGGTGATAATCATTTTAAATAGGTTAGTTAAGTATTAGCTAATATTTAGTCATGTTTCTTAGAAAATGGATTAAGTTCTCTATTTGTTGTTATAAAAAGTTTTTTAGCATCATTTTTAGACCATATTCGTTGATTTAAGTTTCGTTTGGGACAGCTTTTTTATTACTTTCTAAAAGAGATTTTTAATAAAAAAAAATTCTAATTCAAAAAACAATTTAACTAAAAAGCTGTTTTGGAAAGCATTAAGAAAGCTATCCCAAATGAAACCTAAATTATATGATTAGTTAATTTGAAAAAAAATGATTTAGGGATTGTGTAATTAAGTTGAGATGACTGTAGCTTGTTATAAATATAATTATAAAACAATTGTAAGAAAAATAATTTTTTAAAAAGTTGTTGTGGATATTATAACTATGTTCTTTTTTAAAAAAGTAGAATAACAGCATTTTTATAATTATCACATATTAATAGATGTAGCAATAAAAACCAGCTTCCTATCACAAAAATTCCAGAAAAGTTGTGATAAAGCAATACCCAAACGGAAGAGTGTTTGAGATTTGTAAAGCAAAACATTCAAACAACCGTCCAAAGAGGCTCCCATTCATCATGAATATGATTAAATAGTTGTTTAAATCAAAATTTTATTTGGTTTAAACCAATAATATTGTTGGTTTGGGGCTATTGTAAGATATACTTTAATTAAAACTATTATGAGGAAAATAGATGTGATACTACAAACTACCACACTTTAGTATATTTGATTATAATAAAGTTGTTTTACACTACAAAAAATTTATAACCAAACAATATTATAGTTCATATTTGAAAACAAATATGTGAGAAAGTTGTCCTAAGTATACTATTTGTTGATACTATATTTTTCTATTGATAAATATATTTTTAGGGAAATGATTTTATGATAGGAAGAAATAGAGGGGTATCAATGGATTATTTGAATTTTGATTACGACTACAAAAAATTACTCATTTAAATATAAATTATAATTGAATTAAAATTATGTAAATTATTTCATGCGTAGGCCATATATTTCACATGGTGGTCCTTTTTATTTATTTATTTTGCCAAATATTTATCTCATTGCAACATCATTTAAAGAATATTTAATAAATTTAATATCTATTATAACATCATGCTTCAACCTCCAATTAAGACTTCGTTTGGGACAACTTCTTTACTGTTTTCTAAAGCAGCATTTTAGTGCAAATTAAATTTTTTTGAACTAGAAAGTTTTCTACTAGAAAACTGCTTTAGAAAGTAGTAAAAAAATTATCCCAAATAAAGCCTAAGTTTTGACTAAAATTTTGAGTTTTAAAATTTCTTCTTGTTGTTCATTTCCATAGCCAACTTTTTAAAATCTTGATACGACTTGTATCTTATACAATCTATTTCAAACATAAACAATGTAAGAAAAGATAATTTAAAAATATACAAAAGAACATGTCAAGTGCAAGATACTCCAATCAAATACAATGTTGGAGGACAAGCTAATGTGCATAATTCTATTCTATTATGATTAAGAGATCATTTTTATGAGTCAAGTCTTTGGCCTAAATTACAATAGAAGCAACTTAATGATTATTAAAAGCCCAAAGTCTTTCATAAAAAGATAAAGTGAATGATTGAGGAGTTTTGATATTGATATAATCATAAAATAATGTATTTTGAGCTACAATTAGCAACTATTGCATAGCATGCATCATACTTTCATCTAGAAGTCACCAATGATTCCTCCCCTAACAACCCATAAATTATTTTTTTATAATTTCTCCTAAGCTGAATTGATAATCCAATGAATGATGCAAGCAAAGATTAGGGAGGGAAGTTATGTTAAGAACAAGTGGGTTAAGAACACAATAAAATTATAGAAAGTTTATGTTTAAAATAGCTTGAACATTAATCAATTCATATTCATAATTGCATTTATTTCATTGTATTGCTTTGGATTATAATTATAGAATATCACATTCTTAAATATCATCAAATAAAAAATTTTTAGTAGAAAATTTCAATAGAGATTAGATTTGACGAACCGAGAGAGAGAGAAAAAAAAGAACGGAGGTAAAGGAGAAGTTAAAAGGAGTGGATGATGGATATTGAGCTGTCTCAGTCGTCGAAGAAAAAAATTGGGCACATATGAACTTACAAAACTCCAATATTATTAATCACCCGCCTGCTTTTTATTGGACGACGAACACATCTTTAAGTTTTTCGTTCACACCTAATAATTTTTTAAGAGGCAGGGGAGGGGTTGGGGTGTGGGGTTTAGAAGTTGGAGGGTTTATGAGGGGTGGGGTAAGGGATCACATGGCTTGGTTTGCTTGCAAGGTGATGCCTACCTACCTTATCTCAAGACTCAAGAGACAAGAGAGTAGAGTTTGGTAGCTTGTGGGACAAACATAGTTGTTATTGACAATAAATCATTCTCTTTAAAATAGACATCTAACTTACTTACCTAAATAGACTTTTGTACCTTTGAAGCCCACAAAGTAATATATATATATTTATTTATGGACCCATACTTTTCTTGGTTGGTAATGAATCCCTTCTTTTCTTTTCCCTATTTGATGCCATATTTTCTGGTGAGTGCCATCTTGGTCTCATTTTATATCATTTTGTTATTATTGAAGGGGACTTGAGAAGGTAAAAGGGTATGACTTTATTTTATAATAAGAAATATTTAAATTGAAAATTAATTTTTTTTATATAAAATGATATAAAATAATTAATTTTGTATATAAATTATATGAAGACACTCAAGACAGTCTCATGAGTTAATTGAGCACATGCAAGCCTTGAAAGATTGTTCCTGAGGTGGTGAACTAAAATTCTAAGTAATTCATCCTTATCAAAATTTGAGTAATGGATTCTTCATCACCTTTAGGGTGCTTATGTGACAGCTTTCTTACTAGGGGTGTAATCGAGTCAAGCCGACTAGCGAGCCGGCTTGG